ATAGTTGTATCTCTCTTGCATCTTTTGATTTGACCAAAGAGATATGGTGACATTAAGCACTCCCAATGGAAGTTTTGCTGAAACACATTTCTCCAAGCTTTTCGCTACAACAGGAGACTGTATCAAGGGGATGAGGAGGCTTTGATTTAAGTTAGAGATAAGTATCAAACTATACAATATGTGTAACAGAGGACAGATCAGGTACTAGCGGGCCTCTATCTGTCCTCTCTCACACCTAAACAAGGATAGGCAAGGAGGCTTTACCCCCAGTATTTACAAATGAAGAGGGAAAGGTGAGGAGGCTCCATCCCCAGTATTTACAAATGTGAAGGGATAGGCAAGGAGGCTTTACCCCCAGTATTTACAAATGCAGAGGGATAGGGGAGGAGGCTTTACCCCCAGTATTTACAAATGCAGAGGGATAGGGGAGGAGGCTTTACCCCCAGTATTTACAAATGTAAAGGGATAGGGGAGGAGGCTTTACCCCCAGTATTTACAAATGTAAAGGGATAGGGGAGGAGGCTTTACCCCCAGTATTTACAAATGTAAAGGGATAGGGGAGGAGGCTTTACCCCCAGTATTTACAAATGTAAAGGGATAGGGGAGGAGGCTTTACCCTAAGTATTTACAAATGTAAAGGGATAGGGGAGGATGCTTTACCCCCAATATTTACAAATGTAAAGGGAAAGGGGAGGAGGCTTTACCCCCAGTATTTACAAATGCAGAGGGATAGGGGAGGAGGCTTTACCCCCAATATTTACAAATGCGAAGGGATACGCAAGGTGGCTTTACCCCTAATATTTACAAATGCGAAGGGATACGCAAGGTGGCTTTACCCCCAGTATTTACAAATGCAGAGGGAAAGGGGAGGAGGCTTTACCCCCAGTATTTACAAATGTAAAGGAAAAGGTAAGGAGGCTTTGCCCCCAGTAATTACAAATGCAGAGGGAAAGGGGATGAGGCTTTACCCCAAGTATTTACAAATGTAAAGGGAGAGAGGAGGAGGCTTTACTCCTAGTATTTACAAATGCAGAGGGAAAGGGGAGGAGGCTTTACCCTAAGTATTTACAAATGTAAAGGGATAGGGGAGGATGCTTTACCCCCAATATTTACAAATGTAAAGGGAAAGGGGAGGAGGCTTTACCCCCAGTATTTACAAATGCAGAGGGATAGGGGAGGAGGCTTTACCCCCAATATTTACAAATGCGAAGGGATACGCAAGGTGGCTTTACCCCTAATATTTACAAATGCGAAGGGATACGCAAGGTGGCTTTACCCCCAGTATTTACAAATGCAGAGGGAAAGGGGAGGAGGCTTTACCCCCAGTATTTACAAATGTAAAGGAAAAGGTGAGGAGGCTTTGCCCCCAGTAATTACAAATGCAGAGGGAAAGGGGAGGAGGCTTTACCCCAAGTATTTACAAATGTAAAGGGAGAGAGGAGGAGGCTTTACTCCTAGTATTTACAAATGCAGAGGGAAAGGGGAGGAGGCTTTACCCTAAGTATTTACAAATGTAAAGGGAGAGAGGAGGAGGCTTTACTCCTAGTATTTACAAATGCAGAGGGAAAGGGGAGGAGGCTGTACTTCAAATACAGGGAGATGAAGTGGAGGCTGTACCTACAAATACTGGGAGATGGGGAGGAGGCTGTAACTACAAATACAGTAAGATGGGGAGGAGGCTGTAACTACAAATACAGTAAGATGGGGAGGAGGCTGTAACTACAAATACAGTAAGATGGGGAGGAGGCTGTAATTTTATATACAGGAAGATGGGGAGGAGGCTGTAATTTTATATACAGGAAGATGGGGAGGAGGCTGTAATTTTATATACAGTAAGATGGGGAGGAGGCTGTAATTTTATATACAGTAAGATGGGGAGGAGGCTGTAATTTTATATACAGGAAGATGGAGAAGAGACTCTACCTCCAGTCACACCAATCTTCACTGGTCTTGTGGTATAAGTTACCATGTAAATCTAAATCTGTACTGGACATGTGAAAACAGTAACCAGGATTTTTTTAGATCTGTTTGGGCCTCCCAGCAACCATGTTAATTACAGATCTGTATTGGACTTCTAGGTAACCAGGTACTTTTAGATCTGTGTTGGTCCTCTAGGTAACCAGGTAAATACAGACCTGTATTGGTCCTCTAAGTGACCAGGTAAATACAGACCTGTATTGGTCCTCTAAGTGACCAGGTAACTACAGGTCTGTATTGGTCCTCTAAGTGACCAGGTAACTACAGGTCTGTATTGGTCCTCTAAGTGACCAGGTAACTACAGGTCTGTATTGGTCCTCTAAGTGACCAGGTAACTACAGGTCTGTATTGGTCCTCTAGGTAACCAGGTAACTACAGATCTGTATTGGTCCTCTAAGTGACCAGGTAACTACAGGTCTGTATTGGTCCTCTAGGTAACCAGGTAACTACAGATCTGTATTGGACCTCTAGGTAACCAGGTTTATGGAAACTAAAGGATTCAGTCCTTAAGTTGTCTTATAGATTTGAATAAAAGATTCAGTGGTATTAATCTAACTAGACAGTGTATTGTTAAATACACAAAAGTCAAAAGAATGAATGTTCCAATGATAAAAGTATTTAAGAAAACAGTATTAATTAGTTTACATGATAACTACAGGTTCACAGCAGTCACAAATTAGCTACACATCGTCTGTCACATTACAATTAAGAATCACATTTAAAAAAACAACATGTTATTGACAGTAATCTTGATTGTGATATAATTCTATTTCCTACAGCTATACACGTAAAATTCACAAAGAAAATCCTTAGAATGCTGTAATATCATTACCGAAATACACAAGCTGCTTCCATGGAAATAATCATTGCTTTAGAAATAGCCTAGAGCAATTCTAAAGTAACTAAAGCTATTTTTATACATTCCATCTGCTGATTGTGTTTCAATTTTATTGACAAACACCATCCTGCATTGAGATGTCCTTGAGAAAACATGTCATATATACATACACAGATATATATACAACTGAAGGATGAAGTCAACATGACAATGTTGTGTGTACAATGTTTTTGGTATAATATTGTTAATGATATAAAAATCATTAAAAAAACTACATTCTAGGAAACAAAATATGCTGCTTTGGGCATAAAAATTTGACAATGATGTTCTGATTTGCATTATTATCTAACAAGGATCGTCCATTACTGCCATGTCTGTGTAGTCTTCTCGTCTCTGTTTACTCTATTCCATCTCCCATTGATTTACACTGTAGTGCCTTCATGATCAATGAAGCCATTTCATACTACAATATCTGATACCATTAAACCTGTGATGTTGTGGCTCTGTATAGTATTAGGTGACCTGGTCTAATCAGTAAAGCTAACAAAATATTTTTTTTCAGTTTTACCTGTATTTTTGATGATGTTGTGTTGTCTTTGATAAACATATCTACCAGCCATTTCTGTTTTACCTGTATTTTTGATGATGTTGTGTTGTCTTTGATAAACATATCTACCAGCCATTTCTGTTTTACCTGTATTTTTGATGATGTTGTGTTGTCTTTGATAAACATATCTACCAGCCATTTCTGTTTTACCTGTATTTTTGATGATGTTGTGTTGTCTTTGATAAACATATCTACCAGCCATTTCAGTTTTACCTGTATTTCTGATAATATTGTGTTGTCTTTGATAAACATATATACCAGCCATTTCTGTTTTACCTGTATTTCTGATAATATTGTGTTGTCTTTGATAAACATATCTACCAGCCATTTCTGTTTTATTTTTGTATGTTGTGTTTCTGATAATATTGTGTTGTCTTTGATAAACATATATACCAGCCATTTCTGTTTTACCTGTATTTCTGATAATATTGTGTTGTCTTTGATAAACATATCTACCAGCCATTTCTGTTTTACCTGTATTTCTGATAATATTGTGTTGTCTTTGATAAACATATCTACCAGCCATTTCTGTTTTACCTGTATTTCTGATAATATTGTGTTGTCTTTGATAAACATATCTACCAGCCATTTCTGTTTTACCTGTATTTCTGATTATATTGTGTTGTCTTTGATAAACATATCTACCAGCTATTTCTGTTTTACCTGTATTTCTGATAATATTGTGTTGTCTTTGATAAACATATCTACCAGCCATTTCTGTTTTACCTGTATTTCTGATTATATTGTGTCGTCTTTTCTACCAGCATGTCAATGTTACTTACACTCTTTAATTTGAAAATGATGACCTCACATTTATACCTATGAATATTGAATCCCTTACACTTAAGGAATTTGATAAAAATGATCATTCTTATTCTCTGAATTCTCTTATTCCCTAATACTACCTGCAACCACATAGAGTTTACATGTAACAGTTGATTCTAATGCTATTATATATCAAGTACAGTTGTATAAATTAAAACGTCAATACTCATAGATCTAGCTTTCAGAAGGTCGTCATCATCATCTCAATGGAAATTTGTTATAACCAGATAAATGTTTTTTACAAAGTGATAACCAGCTTGTATTATGCTTATTAGTGTACTGTGTTTCTGTTGTGTAACCTGGTCTTCAAATTACAGGTGGCATTCAAAGCAGCAGGTGCTTGCCCTTCCTGAACACGTGGTCTTATTCTCCTTGTACTATACGGGGCCTCAATGTCAATCTTCACTTTCTTCCTATTTCCACCTAGTTTCATTGGTTTTATTTTACTTGTTGTTTACACATATTTTCTACTGCTGTTCTGCAGATCAATAATGATTACACTACACCTTAACCTGCCCTTGAAAATTCAATTTCATAACAATTTAGAATAACCAACATTAGAGAAGAAGTAATAGGAGAGCATAAAACACACTACATGTATAAACAACACACCTGTGAGCTACCCCAGACACATTAGATGATACTGCCATATTCCCACTGAAGTACTAAGCTGTGTTAATGAGATATTATGGTGTATAAATGACCTACCCTAGATAAGTAATATATATAAGTGTTACATAAATCACTACTTACTTGTGTTTGGTGAATGTGGTGACCTGGATCTAGAATTTTCCATTTTCTTTGACAACTTATGAATTTTCACTTTTGAGATATCCATCATGAGGTCATCACCCCCACTACTGCCCTCTGGTATATGATAGGATGACTCTGTACCACTGTATTCTGTACCACTAAACCGTGACAACGAATCAGTATCCTCTGAGGAATTTTTTTGAAGTGGATAATCCAAAGTTTGGTCAAAAATCCGTTGTCGTGGTAATGGAGAATTGGCATGGGAAGACGGAATACTATCAAAAGAATAAGGAGACGGTGACCTTCCAGGCTGAAGAACAGATTGTCGAGAGACCTGCACATGTCGCATGCCTCCCATTTCTGGTGATGTGGAACGCTGTGAAGAAGAACTTTCTTTTCTTGTCACTTTTACACCTGTATATCCCTCTTTGTTTGAATGTCTTACTTTGCTATAGCTATTTTGAGAATTAGATGATGCACTTTTTGAAGGAGAAGTTTTCGGCCGACAAATGTCTGCACTTTGTGTTGATGAGGCATCTGAATGGACTTCAACTCTTATTTGTGTTTCTGTACTACTTTTTGAAAATGGCGCATCATCTGAATGTATAGTCTGATCTGAATCATACGAATGTTTTCTTTGTAAGGATTTGCGAGGACTACTATTTGCACTTTCTGAAGTTTTATGTAACACAGAATCACTAACATGTATCTCCTCAAATTCTGATGCAGTTGTGTTGTAACCAGACACCCTAGAGGATGCTGGTGAACTCTGCACAGATACAGTTGTTAACATTGATGCTGGAAGCGATGATGACACATCCTCCTCCGATGAGGAACTTGACTCTGTATCTGTTCCATATCTCCGTGACGTTGCCCTACGAACTGATGTCTGCTGCTGGAGCCTTCTCTCTGGACTGTCCATCGTTTTTTGCATTTTAAATGCATCAAACAATTGTGTGAGTTTACGTTTGTCAGAATCTTTAGGATACTCAATGCGTTCAGCATCTTGTGGTGTCTTATCTTTATGAATAGATCCGTTCCTGACTGTTGCGCCATTCAGCTTGAATCCTGTCTCAGTCCCAGGATCAGATTCTGCACCTAAGAAACATAAAATATAACATGTATTCATCATCTATATAAACCTAATTAATGGGTTCTAGCAGAATCTAGTGAATACAGAGCAAGAAGTTATGGACAAATTAGTGTTGGCAACAGACATACAAACAGAAAGAAAGCAGAAAAACAACATGCCACCCTATATTTTGATCTGGTGGCATAAAAATACAAAATGTATGATGTGTGAAACAATCTTTACAATGTACATTGACATGAATGTATAAATGTTACCAAAGTGATGTCAATGTAAAAATCTTAACTATGTGATATCAATGTCTTCTTCACACTAATGAATTAATCAGTGGTCTCCAAAAAAATCTCCAAAAAAATCTGTACTGATAAACAAGTAAACTGATCATAGGCAACACTAAGATCACAATTTGTCACTGAAATATTGGCCATTGATCCCAAGTCAAGCCTGTAATGGATTTTGAATGGTTTCCTAGTGTCGTGAGTAAATGTCGGCCATTTCAAGCTGAGAGCATGTAATAATGAAATATTTAAACTACAGGGAAACAGTCCTCGTGAATAATTTAAAGAGAACAGAAACTGATAGGAGGTCCTTCTGTATCTCTTAACTCCAGTTACATCAATATCAATATATGTAGTGTTTATTTTCTGCTAGTTTACAGGCTGAGCAGAAACTGATAGGAAGTCCTTCTGTTTCTCTTTTTTTTGCTAGTTTACAGGCTGAGCAGAAACTGATAGGAAGTCCTTCTGTTTCTCTTTCCAGTTACATCAATATCAATATATGTAGTGTTTATTTTTGCTAGTTTACAGGCTGAGCAGAAACTGATAGGAAGTCCTTCTGTTTCTCTTTTTTTTTTGCTAGTTTACAGGCTGAGCAGAAACTGATAGGAGGTCCTTCTGTTTCTCTTAACTCCAGTTACATCAATATCAATATATGTAGTGTTTATTTTCTGCTAGTTTACAGGCCGAGACATATGTATTCCAAATGATGCAGTCCTCCTTATTGTGTATTGTTAGAGATTCCAAATCTACTGATTAACATGCTACCACAGTCTTGACCAGTTATTAGTGTTTCACCATGATACAAGTGTCTGTGGTACGGACAGTTAGATCACAACAGTAGAACTACTGTTGAATCAAGAAACATACATATAAATTTTCTTGTTACAAATTTTATAAATAAGAATAACTCATTTTGGTCTCTTTGAATTAGTAGATGTCTTTTTCACTGAACAACATACAGGAGGCCCATTGCATGCTGTATAGAGTAATTAAGATAAAGTGTCAATTATTGACCTGTTGTCAGGTGAATAGGATGATTTATGAACCTGAGATGGTGATATTTACCACACGACATCCTAAGTATGTAACAGTTTGACATAAAGACAAGAATCACCCTAGGGTTAGAAACTAAGTGAATGCTAAATAGCAAGAAACAAAAAAGGACACCACAAAGTTATAAATATAAGGATGAGGATATGTTATGGGCACCTGTGGTGTGATACTATAACCACACATACTTCGGAAGTCTTTATGTTTCACGGTCTAGATCTCCCCTGGTAGTCATTGGACACTGTCTTTTCTACTATTGCTATGACAACCCACACTACCATGTGTACCAGTATAAACTGGCAGTGGTTTTATAACATTCTCCCAATATTTCTAGGAAACATTCCCCATCCAACAACAATCAATACAAAATATCCAGTCACAACAACAGTAAGGTACCAGTCGCTAGTGACAAGTTTAATTTGGATATCTAAGTAAACTATCCAAGGTTACTACATTGGATCATACTTTCCCATACAAAGAATTTTTTATGAACTTTATTATTTAATAGATACAATATGAAAGTTGGCAGGTATGGCAATTTATGTTGGTGACACAAAATTCAGGCTATGTTTCCACTTAACTGTAACTGTAAGAATCAATACGGTTTTAGTATCCAGTGTATTTATTATTTAAAAGTGTGTCATCAAAGTCTCGCAATGAGCCCAAGGCAATGAATATCCTCAAAATATGAACAAAGACCAATGCAAAATAAATATAAGACAAAGAACTGTTATGGTCAAATCAGTGATGGTCATAAACTCAAAGGTCAAAGATCAAATCCATTTTCAAAATTAAAAAAGGAATTATTCTAAACATTTTATTGCATTGAACACTTTTGATCCTCTCTACATGTAGTATTGGGGTTAAAATGTAGGGTAACAAAACCATTAAACCCTTTGGGACTTGGTTCCATACCAGACCTGGTGTACACCAATTGTTTTAATGTGGGTCTGCTTTTCTTCTGGAGTGTCACTGGAGACCCTATTAGAAGATCAAAGAGCCAAAACACTCTCAAGGTCACACACAAGGTCATGTATATAGTGTTCATTGTCTCCATACAAAACTTTGGATGCAACTTTTTAAACTGGTAGCCAACAGACTAATACAGTAGGCCTTGGAGTCTACAATCATTGAGGATTTACAGCTAAACACTACATGACTTTGTCAGATAAATTCTAATCTTGATATTTATAAGAGCACATACCAAACTCTAAATCTCTCTCCAATTAAACATGTGACATGTTATGTTTCTTTGAGCAAATACGAAAAAAAGAGAAAATATATCTCCCCATAATATCAACAAGAGAGTTTGACAAACAGTGTCCACCTTTATCAACAACAAGAGAGTTTGACAAACAGTGTCCACCTTTATCAACAACAAGAGAGTTTGACAAACAGTGTCCACCTTTATCAACAAGAGAACAAGAGAGTTTGACTTTGACAAACAGTGTCCACCTTTATCAACAACAAGAGAGTTTGACAAACAGTGTCCACCTTTATCAACAACAAGAGAGTTTGACCTTTATCAACAACAAGAGAGTTTGACAAACAGTGTCCACCTTTATCAACAACAAGACAGTTTGACAAACAGTGTCCACCTTTATCAACAACAAGAGAGTTTGACAAACAGTGTCCACCTTTATCAACAACAAGAGAGTTTGACAAACAGTGTCCACCTTTATCAACAACAAGAGAGTTTGACAAACAGTGTCCACCTTTATCAACAACAAGAGAGTTTGACAAACAGTGTCCACCTTTATCAACAACAAGAGAGTTTGACAAACAGTGTCCACCTTTATCAACAACAAGAGAGTTTGACAAACAGTGTCCACCTTTATCAACAACAAGAGAGTTTGACAAACAGTGTCCACCTTTATCAACAACAAGAGAGTTTGACAAACAGTGTCCACCTTTATCAACAACAAGAGAGTTTGACAAACAGTGTCCACCTTTATCAACAACAAGACAGTTTGACAAACAGTGTCCACCTTTATCAACAACAAGAGAGTTTGACAAACAGTGTCCACCTTTATCAACAACAAGAGAGTTTGACAAGCAGTGTCCACCTTTATCAACAACAAGAGAGTTTGACAAACAGTGTCCACCTTTATCAACAACAAGAGAGTTTGACAAACAGTGTCCACCTTTATCAACAACAAGAGAGTTTGACAAACAGTGTCCACCTTTATCAACAACAAGAGAGTTTGACAAACAGTGTCCACCTTTATCAACAACAAGAGAGTTTGACAAACAGTGTCCACCTTTATCAACAACAAGAGAGTTTGACAAACAGTGTCCACCTTTATCAACAACAAGAGATCCACCTTTATCAACAACAAGAGAGTTTGACAAGCAGTGTCCACCTTTATCAACAACAAGAGAGTTTGACAAACAGTGTCCACCTTTATCAACAACAAGAGAGTTTGACAAACAGTGTCCACCTTTATCAACAACAAGAGAGTTTGACAAGCAGTGTCCACCTTTATCAACAACAAGAGAGTTTGACAAACAGTGTCCACCTTTATCAACAACAAGAGAGTTTGACAAACAGTGTCCACCTTTATCAACAACAAGAGAGTTTGACAAGCAGTGTCCACCTTTATCAACAACAAGAGAGTTTGACAAACAGTGTCCACCTTTATCAACAACAAGAGAGTTTGACAAGCAGTGTCCACCTTTATCAACAACAAGAGAGTTTGACAAGCAGTGTCCACCTTTATCAACAACAAGAGAGTTTGACAAACAGTGTCCACCTTTATCAACAACAAGAGAGTTTTCCACCTTTATCAACAACAAGAGAGTTTGACAAACAGTGTCCACCTTTATCAACAACAAGAGAGTTTGACAAGCAGTGTCCACCTTTATCAACAACAAGAGAGTTTGACAAGCAGTGTCCACCTTTATCAACAACAAGAGAGTTTGACAAACAGTGTCCACCTTTATCAACAACAAGAGAGTTTGACAAACAGTGTCCACCTTTATCAACAACAAGAGAGTTTGACAAACAGTGTCCACCTTTATCAACAACAAGAGAGTTTGACAAACAGTGTCCACCTTTATCAACAACAAGAGAGTTTGACAAACAGTGTCCACCTTTATCAACAACAAGAGAGTTTGACAAGCAGTGTCCACCTTTATCAACAACAAGAGAGTTTGACAAGCAGTGTCCACCTTTATCAACAACAAGAGAGTTTGACAAGCAGTGTCCACCTTTATCAACAAGACAGTTTGACAAGCAGTGTCCACCTTTATCAACAACAAGAGAGTTTGACAAACAGTGTCCACCTTTATCAACAACAAGAGAGTTTGACAAACAGTGTCCACCTTTATCAACAACAAGAGAGTTTGACAAACAGTGTCCACCTTTATCAACAACAAGAGAGTTTGACAAACAGTGTCCACCTTTATCAACAACAAGAGAGTTTGACTTTAAACAGTGTCCACCTTTATCAACAACAAGAGAGTTTGACAAACAGTGTCCACCTTTATCAACAACAAGAGAGTTTGACAAACAGTGTCCACCTTTATCAACAACAAGAGAGTTTGACAAACAGTGTCCACCTTTATCAACAACAAGAGAGTTTGACAAACAGACAAAGAGTGTCCACCTTTATCAACAACAAGAGAGTTTGACAAACACCTTTGTCCACCTTTATCAACAACAAGAGAGTTTGACAAGC